TCATAAAATTGCTCTGAGACTGAAATTTGGTTTGTCAAAAAAACATCTGAACTTTACAATTTTTTTTACTGGACCTCTACCTGCAATTGACAAATAACTAAAATATCATTGAGAGAAAAAAAAGCCCCAATTTAGACATTTGCCACTCCAGGCAACGTACCCCCTCTCTCCCAACAATTGAGGGCTTTCTCCCTGAAGGAAAATTTAGTTGCCAATTACATGTGTTTCCGACATGGCCCGATATATCCCCCGATATATCCTTTTACAGGGCTTGCCGCAACCGATATGGTCTTTAAATATCCTTTACCGATTTTTGGCTATTTTGAGTGATAAATCTCCGATATGGCCGATATATTAGCCGATATGTGGACCAATATATCTTTTTATATAGCTTGTTGCAAAATAATATACCGCGTTTGGAATTTTTGGGCGAGATATCAAGATTTCCCCATTATATCAAATGACATTTTGCCCTTAAAAAAGTAGATCGAATGTTGCAACGTTGCTTTGCACTTTTGTTTATTTTAGAAGGTTGATTAGTGATCCTAACCATATATTATTCATATTTTGTATGCTTAAATTTCATTACATATATTGAGATTACATTTTAATGCATTATACTATGTATGCAAACATTCGTTATGGCATTCCGATATTTACCACATATCCCCGATATTTCCCCGATATCCGCAATCCGATATGAATTTTGGTCATCCGATATTTCCCCGATATCCGATATTTAAAACCTTGGTTTTATGTGCAAAACCCCTCGATTTTAAAAACCTTATATGTTGTGCATTTTAGTTAGACATCCAAGATTTAAATTGATCTGTACTATATGACTACTCAGTTGTTATTTCCTATTTTTCTATTTGTTCTTTTTATCCATCTGCCTACCTATAATATTCTCATTTAAATATATGCTATAGTTGACTCTTAGTTAACTTTTTAGCTCTTTTTTTGCCAGACAATTTAGGAAATGCATATCTCACAAGCTTTTTTGTAACGGGAGCATGGGATCATTCAAAGCTTCAACAATCACTGAAAGCATATCAAAATGCTGTAAGTGTGGAACCTTTATGGCTTGATTTAATCCTATTTCTTGTTGTTGTAGATCTTTTTAGTGGAGTAAAGATTCTATTTTTGAACTCTACAATATGTCTTTTATTATCTTCATGATACTGGATATGGAGGAGTGTTAACTGTAACTGTAACTGGTGCTAACAATTGAGAGGAGTGGATGTTCTGATACTAACTTTGCTTTTTATTTTTGAACTCTAAAATATGTCTTTTATTATCTTCATGCTACTAGATATGAAGGAGTGTTAACAATAACTGTAATTAATGCTAACAATTGACCGGAGTGTCCGTTCTGATCCTAACTTTTCTTTTCAGGAGAAAAATGAGCTGATGATATCTAACCCAGACCTCTATTTTAATTCTGCTACTGTAAGCTTTCTACCTCTGAAAATTATATTCCTTCACTTGAGCACATGTCATGCTACTGAGGTATGGTGAAGCCTATCTTTTCATTGAATAAGAAGTTTACATTTTTTTTGGCTAGGCCAACAGGTACCTTGAAAACTATGAAAGGGCTCTCGGAGGATTTGAAGCTGCTTCCTCGAAGGATCCTAGCCTTAATGCTGAGGGAGAAGTTAAAAAACTTATTAATCTTCTTGACAAGATAGAAAGTTCTATTAAGGTAATAATAGAAAGTTCTATTAAGGTAATACATTCTTTCATTGTAAGCTTTGTGCAGAAAACAAACACAGAATAGGATGGAAAGTGGGGGATTAGCTTTATGAACTTACAGCTTACTATTGTTATCCCATCGAAGACCAAGGATTTTCATAATTTAACGGGTCAAGGATAGCAGACGGTTTATATACTGTGTTGCACATGTTTTAAGTTATTAACTTTGTGGTAACTTCCCACGACATCATATAAATCTTCTGCAGATTTTTTGTTTCGTTTCTTGTTGATAGAACTCAAAACCTATCCCGTCCTGTACATTTCCGAACTATTTACATGATTCTTTGTTAACAATTGGTTTGTTTACATACCTATTCCCAATGTCATGTACAGATGCACTGCCAAGTTAGTGCTTTTATTTTGTCTGTCCATGTTATCAATTTATATACCTGCCCAACAGCCTGGTTCGTATAATTAAATTGTCCTTTTAGATGCCCTTATGCAGTAGGTGCCAAATATTCTAGTTCTAAGGCCTTTAGTTTGTAGTGATTTAATAACATCTTCCATTAATTGTTATAAACTCTGATAGTTAATTTGGTTTTGAGCTATTTATCCATCATTAACTGTGTTATTAATGAAATTAACATTGTAAACTACGTGTAATGCATATGTGATAGTCTTTTCTGTTCCCACACAATTACTTGTTCGTCATTTCCCGTCTAGTGTACATCTTTTCCATCCGCTGGATGTAATTTATACTTTATTTATGCATTTCCTTCAAGCATAAATGATGGTGCCTAAAGCTGAGTTAAGAAAAGACTGATGCCATAAACTCAAGAGTTGTGCATATGCTTGCTTATTTTTATCCTTTCAAAATGCTGACATCGCTTATTTGTCACCAACTAAAGCACATAACTTATAGGAACCGTCTATAATTATTGAAGTATCCATTTTGCCTTATTTTATTTAAATGTTTTTCTTTCTTTATTTTCTTTAAAATATCTCTTAGTGCCTTCAAGCACAAGATTAACCACTGGAGCTGCTTAATGAGTTGTTCAAGCAAATTCTGGCAGGTGCAGGCCAGGGCTAAACAACTGATGTCTGCTCTGTCATCTTTGCGCGAAGTTAATTGTGAGTAACGCGTACAAGAAACCATTGTGCAAGTGTAGTCTTCAATAAAGTTATAGTATTTCAAATTTACTGACTATTATGTTTCTATTTTAAGTGAACTCAACACATAAAAGAGTGACAATCAATGTCCTTACAGAAGGGCTGAACAAAGCAGTAGTGGTAGTCGCAAAAGTGCTTCTATTTGTAAAGCATGACAACATAGCCCCATTGTGAGTACCTCCATTTAACGATACATTTTCTTGTTAATTCATGCCATCCCAATGAATCCATCTTTAAAAGGACAATTTAGTGAAATATGTCTTTTGAAATGTATACTAGTGAATAAGTAACCTCTAATAAGGGATGGATAGAAAATAATCCATAATATGAAACCACAGCGGGAGTAATAAGATCTAAGGAGCAAACACGAAAGTGAGCAATGCTTGTTTGTTAGTTGTTATGTTTAATCATTTGTATTTCCGGAAGATCCTAAATTAGGAGAAATATATGTTTCTTGTGCATAACTATAATCAATAGTTAACAAGCTTTCTTTCATCCGTCCGATTAATTTGTAGTGTTATTTGGTAATTCCTTGTCAAAATTTATGTTCGCTTGATGAATTTGCAGGTACTTTTTAGCATGCGATGTGGAACAAGCTATTTTTGTTCTATCGGTTTATGGACTACTTTGTGATGCAGTAAGGATTACTCATTACTTCTTCAACTCTTGAGTTATTATATATTTTGAACTATTCTGCAGTTGATGAGCCATTTTTTAACATTGCTTCTCATGTTCACACTTCATGGTTAATACCCTCTTGAAACTATATATGAATATGGCCCAAAATTTAATTTTCATTTGACTATATTCTATCATTAAAAGAACATGGTGCTAATGGCTGACGGATGGGCAATCACCTCCATTTTGTGAATTGCAATTTATCTTCATTGTCATCCTTCTTTCCAGGTCACGCTGATTTCTATCTTTGCCCCCTTCCCCCTTCCTCTGCTACCAGAAGTACATATTATAGCTTTAAATATTGTCATGTTATAATTTACAGTGGATTCATTGAGAACCATATTAGAGAACTGGCAGTTGAAGTTTGATTAATATAAGTACGTGCTTATGTGTCTATGAAATAATAGGGTTTTTTATATACGTACTCCCATTTCTTTCATATTTATAAAGATGCTGCTCTAATCGTTATATTTATAAGCCCACCCCTAAATCTTAGGGATGGTTAAATTTGTGTGTTCTTGCTATTTAAGAATAAAGGGAGATTTCTCGCCCTCTTAAATGACCTAAAGTTTTAAAAGGTTAATTAAGATATATCCCGTCAAATCTTTCATATTGTAAAAATACTACCACTTGTACTATTCAAACTCAAACTGGATTTAATGAGGAGGTAAAATTTCTAGGGACCTGTATCAGCTGGTGGGTTAATCTCTGAATATGATGATTTGACTGGTTGAGGGTTTACGTATAATTGTGCTCATTTACTTAGGATACCATGTAACTGGAAGAACTTAACGGGACTAGAAATATCATGGGAAAGAAAGTCGCTGGTGGCTTGGGTATATTACTTGAAAAGTGCATGCTAGAAGAGATTGAGATTGCAAAAAATGTGTGACAATGAGATTATTAATCTCTAAAATACCTAACATATCTGGTTGATTTTGTGGATCCGTGAAATGAAGGTTAGTCAAGTTAGAGCGTGTATAATATGTAATTATGATTGCAACATGGTGATATTCTTGCACCATTTGCTATTTCAATATCATCGCTAAACTTCCAAGTCCTAACTATCAATGGATGAGCAAAGTTGGGGTTTTCCATAATTCCCAGAATTTATCACATACCACATCTCGGGAGTGTTAAAGTTTGCTTAACGGCTATTTTAAGTTAACCAATCTTTTAGGTGTTAACCATAAATACAATACTTTCAAATTGTTTGTTTGTTTATTTGTTTTTTTTTGGGGGATTTTTCAATATGTGAACTCTGAATTCGACTTATTTTGAGTTAGATCTCCAAATATTTTTTCTTATTGAATAAACAGGGGCTGGTGAACAGTTCACTTTTTTGACTTAATTAACTTTACTTTTCCCACACATTGTCATGGTGATGTAAACTTGTGCTAAAGCACCTCTTGAAGAGCCTTCATATGACGAAATGATCTGATGCTTTTATTTTCTAGATCAAGGAAGGGGATCGAATAACATTGTTGGAACCATATCACAGAGTAATCGATTTTTCATGGAAAGGCAAGGTATGTTTTCATGCTATCGCTTTTTTTTACGCGTCGCGGGTGTACTACTTTATAATATTTTTTTCTGGTGTTCTTTGCATTCTTTAGATTTTTGTTACCTTGTGCTTGTGATTTTAAATGTCGTGAACCTCAAATGGTAACTTTGCACGACGTTAAACTATCAGATAAAAGTCTTACAATGGTGTAGATGAAATCTTCGGGAAATAAAGTTTCAAATATCATATAATTTCATATGAATCAAAAGATGTCTATTAGATACACACCTATGTTGTTCCTCTCCAAACTTTTTTGAGCAGTGTAATCTCTCTTTGATTCCATTTATTTAACTTCGCTTCCAAACCATGTGCATATTGTGTTCCTTGTGACTATTTTTTCACAATCTCTGAATTGAAGTTTGAATAGAAATCTTTTGGGTTCCTTTAGGATGACAAGAAATAGAGAGAATGCAGAAGTTTTAGGTTTGGCTCCCGTTTTCTATTGTTGTTTCTTAATTAATTTGCAGCATGCTGTTTACGAAACCATTCCACTTAGCTATCATCTTACTGATCAACTGGAAACCATTCCACTTAGATATCATCTTACTGTTCAATGGGAATGGAAGTAAATTAAGCTTTATTAACATTGTTATTTCCTTTTGATGATTTAAGCAGCACTATCAATTCAAATCTATCCGCGTGGATTTTGTGGAACAAATTCTAGTGAATGAAAAGACACCCGCTCCGTATCATGCAACCCGGGCTTCCATTCTTGCGCAACATAAACCGTGATAGTTCACTTTGTTACTTGCAATTTCATGCTAGCAAACTTGCTTTTCTTGGTTTCCTTCTGGTTGCATATGTGTGATCTACAAAGGGTTTGCGTGCATGGAGAAGGTTTGTATTTGTGAGAGCTTGTGTGATCTTCGGTTTTGGCTATGTTCTGGTCTCTTTTCCCCTTCATTGGTGTAATTATTGCTCTGAGTACAGTTTTGCACATCCGTGTTAAGGCTGAAATCATCTGAAGTGAATGTAGCTGTCTATGCAATTTTTTAAACTTCTTTGTAGATAAATCATTTTCATCTATAGCCCATTTGAACGAACGTACTCCATACTCGTGGGGCTGAATCTCATTTGAAACTTTTCGAATGTGCTCTATTACTTCAAGGAATCCGTTCCTTCATTCACTTTTCCTCTTCCGCATATCCACATTATTAGCCTTGAGTTCCTTCTCCAGACTCCCAACGCCTTGTTTGGTATGCGGGAATGAGTGAGAATTGAATGTAATTCCAACTCTTTATTTATGCGTACTAAACACGATGTATTTTTAGATGCTAGATAGAATTGCTGTTCCCACTTTATGTGAGAACTGTCATTCCCAACCATTTAACAAGGAATTGATATTCTCACTTAAGTAAAAATAAAATAATCAAATAATTTTCGATTATACCCTCCTTAATAGATACGATTAGATATAAAATCTTATACAAAAAATTATTTCTATAGAAATAATATCATTACCTGCTCGTACAAATATACAAATAGATGTTAAATATTAAATTAAAATACTATTCTTTGTTCGACTTTGCCCTAGTTCCATCGCATTTGCAGTAAAAAAAATTCTCGTCTTCGACTCGACGCGACTCAGTTAGGTAACCATTATTTCTTTTTAAAATATGTATGTGTGGCTAATCCTTACTTAATCTTTACAATAATTTTTATCTTTTGGCGACTCGGTTGTGTAATCTATTGGCAATTAGGTTTGTAAATATTTTATCTTTTGATGTATGATTTGAAGTTCTATTGAAGCATATATGCCATCTCTTTTCAGTATTTTTTTTCAAAGCATTGACAACAAGAAATAAGGTGCTTAATTGATGAGATTGAAACTTTATATTTTGATTAGAGGTTAACATGCTTAGGCTCGGGCACAAGCATGGCCCGGAAACCCGAGCCTAACCAGGTTTCGGGCCAAGGCCCCTTTGTTGGTGCCAACATCGGGCCCGGCCCGACCAGGAGAATGGCCGGGCCAGAGTTGCCGGGTTGGGCCGGGCCAGGCCGACCAGTGTCCGGCCCGGCCAAAACGGTCACAAAAGTGACCTTTTGTGTTGTCGGACCAGGTCGGGCCGGGCTGGCCCGACTTGTCCATTCCATAACGGCTAAAAGTGGCTATTTTTTATTTTTTACCTAAATACCCCCCAAAATGGTCAAAAACGGCTAAAATTTGAGGATATTTTGGTCATTGTCTAGGGGGCTGACTCTATAAATAGTGAGGGTTTTTATTTGTTTTTCTCATTCAAAACTCATCTACTTCTCTCTAATACTCTCTAATACTCGCTTTTACTCTCTAATTCTTCAATCAAAAGTCTTCCTCCTCTGATTATGAAGGACAAAACCCAACTCCTGGTCTTAAAATGAGTCCTAATACTCTTACTACAGGAGCTACAGCTACACCTAATCCTACTGATGTTGATCACGACTCTGGTGGCAAAGATTCTGCACCAAGAGCTCCTAAAAGGCCAAGATCTGATATGTGGAACTTTTTCGAGAAGATAGAAGTTACCAGAGATGAACACGGTAGGCTACTCACCCAGAAAGCTAAATGTGCATTGTGCGGACATATTTTCCAAGCTCATCATAAGAGCGACACCAACCACCTTAAATGCCATTTAGATAAACACAACAAATGCCAGACGCCTCAATGTGATATCCAACAATTTTTACTCTCCCAATCATCATCTTCTAGTAGTATCGGTAGCTGGAATTGTGACGCAGTCCGAGCCAGAAAAACGTTATTACGTTTATTATTCTTAAAAATCTTCCTTTTAAATTAGTAGAAGATGATGAATTTGAAGATTTGTTTACAGATGGTTTTTATCCCGCATTTAAAAAATTTTCTCGTCAAACTTGTCAACTTGATATTTTAAAATATTATCAAGAGGAAAAAGCAAAAATAATTTCTTATTTTCAAAGTTTAAACTATAAATTTTCTTTAACTTCTGATATTTGGATATCTAGAGCACATACTGGTTATTTATGTATCACATCACACTGGATTGATGATAATTGGTAAATATTTAAAAGAATTATTTCTTTTATTGCATCTGAAGAGTAACATAAAGTTATTAATATTACAAATTTAATAATTGAAGAACTTATAAAATTAGAAATATCAGAAAGAATATTTTCCCTTTCACTAGATAATGCAAGTAATAATAATCTAGTTGTTGATTATATCAAAACATCTCTGCTATTGCCATGTCATGGTGATATTTTTCATATTAGATGTGTGTCATATTTTAAATTTAATTGTTCAAAGTGCATTTGGTGAAATTAAATCCATGATAGAAAAGGTTAGGATAGTAGCTTATGCTCATAATACTTCTGAACAAAGAATTAAAAGATGAAAACAAGTCTGTAGAAGAAAAAAATTTAAAACCTATACTAATTCCAAAAGATGTTGACCATAGGTGGAATTCTACCTATGCAATGTTAAATGTAGCAATATAATATAAAAATTATAAATAATTTTATTGCTTTCTATACTTCTAGTTCTAGCTCTGGTAGTATGTATGGAATAACTGAGAATGAATGGACAGTTATATGTAATTTAAAAGAGATATTACAAGTTTTTTATGATGCTATCATGTTATTATCTCGCTGTTATAATCCAACCATTACTTTAGTTGCTTTATAAATTTAATAAGTATTTTAGGCCTATTCATATTATTTTTGGTTCGTGGGTTCTTATTGATCCGTGTTTGAAGGATATTGGCCTTCAAAGTTTGTTAAATTCTTTGTATGGTAATATGATAATAGACACTGATGATGGTTAAACCATTACTGCTCTTACTCATCATAATACTATTAGAAATTATTTTCAAAGATTATATGATGAGTATGCAGCTAAATATATTGTAACTACACATCAGTCTACAGCTTCTGCTTCTACGAGCTCAAATCGAGGTAAAAGAGTGAGTTTTGATAGGGAATCAATGGTAGTTGAGCTAACTGGTGGATCTGGACTTGGATCATCAGTGAAGATTTTTAAAATTAATCAATATTTAACTGCATCTTTAGTTAAATGTCAAAATAATAGTTTAGATATTTTGCAATGGTGGAAAGTATATGGAACAATTTCATATCCTATATTTTCCATCATGGCTCGTGACTTACTAACAGTGCAGGGTTTCACGGTAAATTCGGAATTCGCCTTCAGCACAACAAGACGTTTGATCGATGATCACATGACATCGTTAGATCTGTATACCGTACAAGCGGTAATGTGCCTACAAGATTGGTGAAGGTACGAGAAGAGAACACAAAACATCGATCGGATGGTTGGTATTGAAGATAAATTTGAAGAGTTGGGACTAGCAGGTAGATATAAAGAGTAGATATTATTCATCAATTTGTAATTTTTATTTCTTAGCTGAAAATTTGTGATAAATTATTTTAGAAACAGTTGCAAATGATAGTGATATAGATGAGTAGGTGCCAACCTAGTTGGGATGTATTCATCTATTTTGATGCGACGAATTCCAAAATAAATTTATAATTATAGATAATTTACTGATTATTAATAAAGAAGTTATTTTTATCATTTTAATTTTTATAATTTTTTGTATTGTAATTTATGTAATTACAAGTGATTAATAATATGATTGTTTTTATTAAAATTTTGTTTAATTTTTGGTTATGTATTCTTAAAAATTTAAAGAAATAAAAAAATAAAAAAATATAAAAAAACAAAAAAAACTGGGCTAGCCCGGTGCTCGGTCCGCTTAGACCCGGGCCCGGGCCTCAGTTTTGCCCGGCCCGAGCTGACCCGAGCCGTCCCGTTTGGATAGCCCTAGGGAAATTGTTAATGAATTCTTTCACATCAAGCTACAACCCCACCACTTTGGGCCCCACCTCTACAGTGAGCTTGTTGCCATGCTTTTAATTTTAAATTAAGAAACTATATCGGTTTGGCATATTCAGCACTCTGCTAATGGCCACGCCCATTATTTAGTTGAACTTGCTTTCAAATAGAAATGTATCTTTTTATCATATCTTTCTGAGGGTCTACAATATATCTGTAATCAAATTATCTATGAAGCAATATAATTGAGTCCATCTCAAGGACTCACAAAATCTAAAAAAGAAAAAAAAGAAAAAAAAAGAAAAAAAAAGAAAAAGAGAAGTTGTTAGAATATAAAAACATAGCCCTCAACCCTCATCACAATTTTAATGTTTTGATATAATTGGTAAGAGACTTTAAGATGGCGTCGCAACAACCCATGTTTAGATTCCATCATCCACAAAATTGAAGTTGATTTTATTAAACACCGCCATATGAGCCTAGGTTTCGGCCCATAAAAGAACATTCGACCTTGAAGTTTCAGTGCAATTGGTTCCGGAATTTAAGAGCAGTCTCAAAGTCAAAAGACCGTCTCATCAAGGTTGAGGACATTGCACAATGCCAATGAAGCCGTTGTTAGGTTTCTCAGATTTGACGCAGGAAACTGTTGATGTTGAAATCATTGGAAATATTTTGAAATCTGCTAAGTTTTTGTAAAATTTTTTTGGGGACCTTTCTTCATTGATATCTGTTGGAAGTTTTTTATTAGTTCCTTATCTGAATATGGAAATTTCAGTTCGGGTCAGATTGTGTACGGGGATGTCTCTATGATTACTAGAAGAAAGATTATAACTTTACGCCTGAAATGAGTACAGACTTGTGAAAACCCGAAATATATTTTTCTTTTTCCTGGCATCCCATTGATGAAAGTTTAATACAAGGTCAAAGTGGCACAATCTGGCAACAGTTTGTGCTCTTCTACCATTAACCACAAATTGAAATTGAAATTGAAAACAAAACATTTAGACTGCTACTTTTTGATCAAACATAATTCTGACACAAACTTGCACAGACTGCAATACTACATGAAATTGTACAAAATTTGGAGAAACTCTCTACCAACTTAAAAGCCCGTGCTAGAAATTAAAACAAAACAAAATAACACCTAGAGAAAAATAGCAATAAGTAGTACTTCATCCAACACAACATAACCACGCTTCAATAGCTCGAACTCTTTCTCGATTTTTTGATTCCTGTTCTAGAGATCCAATGCACCTTAAAACCTTGCATGCGAAAAAATTCTCCTCCAGTTCTTCAGGGAGCCTTCTGATTGCACGAGCTAAATCATTGTAAAGTGAAGTACCCTGTTCCATAACGAGAAAATGTAATGAATTTTATTTCTAAAGAAACATCAACCCATGCGAAAAATAAAATAAAATTGAAGTAAAAGAGTGTAGAAAGTCACCTTGCTTATCTTGAGTGCACTTTGGATAATATAGTTTGCATATCGGTCTGTCACAAGTCTTTCAAGTTTATCACTGTCGAACTCTGCGAGTTTTCGAACTAACACTTCACCTGCTGATGATTTGAGGCATGCTTCTATCACATAACTCCCATTTTCATCCGTTGACAAGTCCTCCAACTGATTCTTCAACACTCTACATATCTCTCTATCAAACTGACAGTCACCAATCTTCAGAGCAAACTGGATCACAAGATTTCTGCGGGGAAAAAAAAACAATAGCTTATAGTTTGAAACACTAATTAAACGCAACAAGATTACTAATAGAGAAGGATCACAAGATTTCTACAAAAAAAAGAAAAGAAAAAAAAGACAATAGATTATAGTTTGAAACACTAATTAAATGCAACAAGATTACTTCTAGATAAATCTATATCTTTACCCTTTGGAGGTTTTTGAAAGCGTCGAAGCATGGTACACAAGTCTATCTAGAATTTTTCGTTGCTGAGAATCTCTCGATGACTTGATGCATTCTTCAAGAATGACTTTTCCGATGGCACTTTTTCCAAGTTTCAGGCATTTCTTTGTGGCTGCGTCGAATATGAACTGAAAAAATTAAGGGGGAAAAAGTTAGACTACATAAATCTAATGTGGAGGTAAAAGGCTTTAGATATTGAAACTAACCAATTTCTGCCTGTAACTTAAGGTTCCAAGACAATACAGGATGAGTTTAGAGGCAATAGGATGCATCATTAGCTCAACCACATTTCCCTCGAGAGCAGAGGTGACCCAGTTGAACATGCAAGGACATTGCTTGACAAAATCAACGAACACCTTAACTGACTCAATTCTGAGGAAATACCCAAGAAAATCTCAGCATCGAAAACTAAAAAAAACTGGACATAAGTCTGAAATTAAGGAACATACCCATATTCATCTTTGGCTGCTATAGTAAGTATACGTCCATCTCGAGTTATATAGCTAATTAGATAGATTGGATCAACCAAGACGTCTTGACCGAGCAATAACCTCTGCAACCTTGAGCTCCCATCTTCACTGGTCATGACATCTAGGATCATAGAGGTAACATCTGATTGCGGGGCTGTCGGTTGGTAAATTCGAGGCAAATTGCCCACATTGGTTGAATTGGGATTAGAAGCACAAGGAATTTGATGAGAAGAGGGCATCGTTGAGGTTTGGATCATCCTCTGATCAGCTTCAAGCCTCTGAATCAAAGCTTGCCTTTGCATAATGTATTGTTGTTGCATGATGCAATGCTGTTGTTGCATGATGCAATGCAAAGCTTCGGATGATGAACAAGAGAAAAATAGAGGGAACTTTGAGTTGATGGTTGATGAATAAAGAGAGAATTAGAGTGCATGAGAGTAGTGCTACAGCGCTATGATTTATTTTATTAGCGGCGGGGGCGGGGGGGGCGGGCGGTGGGGTTCTTTGTTCGAGTCCTAAACGGGACAAGGATTGGACTCAGGCAGAATCATAGTAAGAATTGGAGGCAATATATAAATCCTACTGGGGAAAGGTTTTGTTAGACCCGAGTCCAATTAGAAAACTCGGACCATTACGGACAAGAACCCGACCCACTAATGAATGGCTCCCCTTGTTATGGTAGAACTATGATTCTTCTACAACCTTGACTCTTCTTAAATTCTGAGAGCACCGCTTGGAAGTTCACTGATGGAAATAGGAGTATTTTTTTTTTCTTTCTAAAAATTGTCATAAAGAGAATCTCTATATAAATCTGGATTTGATTGCACATAACCCCTTGTACGACCGTTGTTTTGAGCTTAGTAGCCTTAGTGACCCCATAGTGAACCTTATAGTTTTATCGTTGTAGATAGACCTAAAGTTAAATTTCTCTGACTCTTTACCCTGGGGGCGAAATTCTAAAAGTTATTGCCCATAAGTGAAATTAGTGGGTCTATCTGAGATAAGAGTAAAAAATATTTAACTGAAGGGTCCACATGCAACAATAAAACTATGGAGGTAGTAAGTTCAAAATAGCAATAATATAGGGGTCTACGTGCAATTAACCCCACAAATTTGTAATTAGATATTTGTCTCTTCCCCGCGGGCCGCATCAAAGGCATATCACCTTAGCTCTGAGACGATAGATTGATTTCTTGTGAAATCAACCAATCATCAGAAAGGAACAAACCTCCAAGAAAACACATCATGTTACACCACTGATTAAAAATTAACTATCAAAATTTGCTTTGTAACAAAGTTGAAGTTTCAACATTCTATTCAATCTTGTAATAGTCATCATCACCGAAGAGAAAAAAAAATTTACAATCAGGGAGAAATTATTGTTAGTTAATATAGGCAGGAAACCAACATTTCTCGGTTTGACAATTATCACTCCCTCTCAAACGAAGTGTCAGGAAGAAAGTTTGACAATTTTATTTGAAAATAAGTGCATTGTCCCCAACAAGCTCAATTCTATCCTTTCAACATGCCTACGGGCAGCTTCAGGTAGGTCTTTATAACTTCTTAGGGATGAGATATCACTCCCCTGCTCTTTATTAGAACTCCTAAAGAAGGTAAAACATATTTGCTTCCGTTCCCTTTACTAAACTCCCAAACAACATTTTATCTTTTCACTTCTATTCCCTACCTTTCCATTCCATTATTAACTTTCCGTTCATTCCCTTAGTAAACTCCCAAACAAAGCATAAAACTAAAGGGAGTTCCATTGTAGCTACTCTTTAAATCTACAGTAAACTCCTTTAATTTTAGCTCCTAAATAGTGGCCCCATGGTTCGGATACGGCTCGGATATAATACTTGTCATATTTGTACCTTACATATCTCGGATACGGATACAAATATGTCTTGGTAAAGAAAATTTATAACCATAATCGAATGCGGATACACATATACGTATCGATATAAGCGGATATACACACATATACAAAGTAAATATGAGAAAACTAGATAGTATTGAAAAAAATATAGTTTATATGATATAAGAGAGTTCATCAACATGTTCATTATATCTAAAAAGCTAGGATTAGATCTCTTGATCAACAAAATTAGCCTCAAATTCATTTATCTAGGATTAAAACTATTGCAACTATGTGACCTACATATATTCAGATATAGATACAGATAATTCACTACATTTAGTTATCATATCCTATAAGTTACATATTTTAACAACCATATCCGTATCCTAATAGGTATGGATATTTTCTCAGGTATGAATATTTTTGTGCACCCCTACTCCCAAAACATGCATCCCCGCTAAAATCCCCAAATCAGAAATGTGATGCCCCATTTTATAGTCCCACATCAAGTGGTGACTAAGAGTTGAGAGATTTTATAAGGTAAGTCATGAGTTCAAGTGTAGCATCGGCTAGTCGATTTGGCAATGGTTTGAGCTAAACAATACGCTACACTCAGTGGGTCTTATGACTTACAGCACACAAAGGGCTTGGGGGGCCGCAGCGAGACACATGATACCAGAGCATTTTTCCAGCCGCAGGTGTAGAGCTTGTCACGATGAGGATATCACATATATAAGGTGGGGTGATTATGATGCTCCCAATTATAGTCCCACACTGAGTCATGACCAAGAGTAAAGAGAGTTTACAATGTAAGTTGTTGGATTTTTTGGTCAAAACCGCTTTCCAAAAATGAGTTTTCAAACTATTTCAAACTATGTATTTATTAATTACTGGTATTTTTAGAAATTCTTAGTAACGTAGCAGAAAGTTAAAGTTTTGGTGTTTTAAAAGGTCATGCGTTCGAGGTTTGCCAACGGCAAATCGAGAATTATTTTTATTCAATTAATCCCTCATAAGTTCTAGTGGGTCGTGGGCCCGTTGGCCATGGGCCAATGGGTTGGGGATCAGGGCTAATCGGCTGAGGTGCTAAGTGGTGCTTTGTAAGGCATACTTTGTACTTCGTACGGATGCATCAGGGCTAAGTGCTCGCAGGTTGCTTCGCAGCTTTCGGGCGTGCCTCGCTTTCACAGCTTGCACGACCATCGCGTTTGCAAGAAGGAACAAGACCCTCACGTTTGCGCGAGGCTGGTAGCGACCCTCACGTTGTATAGTAACGTGACCATCATGTTCAGATGTTTCTTCATGCTATAATTAAAACTACATGCAGCAGTTACAACAATTAAGTCATTTGTTGTTACAATTATAATTGTCATTATGATTTATAACAGTCAAATGACCCTTAAGCTGACCTTAGAGGCCTATAAATAGAGCCCCTTGGAGCAGCTCTAAAGATACGAAAAGAACATTGAAGTATTTAAGATGTTGTGCTGTTGCTGCAGAGTTTGAAAATGTGCAAGCTTTAGTCTGTGCCCGAAGGAACAAAGCCCTGAACTGAAAGGTTATTACAGATCAAAAGTTCCATGTCTTAACTGAAAGGTTTTTTTGAACCAAAAGGTTTAACAGATCAAGGAGACATTTACTTGAACCGAAAGGTTTTTAACCGTAAGGTTTAACAGATCGAGGAGATCTTTGCCTTGACCGAAAGGTCTCATAGATCGAGGAGATCTTGATAGTACTTGGTCGGTGCACACCAGTGTACTGTACTGTTGTTCCTGAAAGCAGTTTGATTTTGGGATCCTTGCACCAAAGTAGGCCAAATATTGCTTTAAGCATAGCGTTTCATAAACGTACATCAACTAAACTTAAAAAAGTTTTAAAAATATAGCACTTCAGCTATCTACTAGATTTATCTATTTTATTCAAGATTTAGCCACATGCATCAACAATCTTAAAGTAATATTTCTGATCAACAATGGATCCTGCAAGGACACTTAGAGTGGACTGTCTTAAGTTAGAGAACTTTGACGGATCCAACTTTAACGCATGGCGTCAAAAAGTAATTTTCGGGATGCAACTCCTGAAAATCTACTATGTGGTTTCTGAGGAGAAACCCGACTCTAAAGAAGATTTTGAGTCTGAAGCCTCTTGGGCTAGAGATGATCACTTCTGTAGGAGTTATCTCCTTAACTGCCTAACCGATCATTTAGCAGATGCTTACACCAACAAGCCCTCTGCAAAGGAAATCTGGAATGCTTTAGAGGACCAGTACAAGGATGAAGAGAAGTTGTCCAAGTCTCACATCATTGACAAGTTTTCGTACTTCAAATTCGAAGATGACATTGTGGTTTTGCCTCAAGTCAAAGAGCTTGAAAAGCTTGTTATGAAGCTGAAGGGTGAAAAGATTAATCTTTGTCAAACCTTCATTTCTGGTATAATTATCAACAAGCTTCCTCTATCTTAGATGTTATTCTCCACTGACCTTCAGAGAAGGAAAAGATAGGTGAATCTGTCTGATTTGAAGAGGTTCATTCGGATCGAGGATGAGATTCGGACTCGCACGAAGAATGAGCTCCTTGCTAAGCAGAAGGCGTCTGCTAACATGGTGGCTGCTAACTCTGAGAAGGGTACTAGTTCTTCTTTTAAGAAGAAGAAGAAGTCATTTAATAAAAAGAAGAACCAAAACCCGAAGAATCTAAATGTTCAGAAGAAAGAGTTCAAGAAGATTGGCAAATGCTTAAACTGTGGGAAGCAAGGTCATTTTTCCAAGGACTGCAAAGCACCAAAGAAGGGAACATCACACAATATTAATGAAGTTGACAATTGTGGGACTATCTTTCATGTGACAACTCTCAACAACATCTCTAGTTGATGGTTAGACACAAGTGCTACCTGTTATGTCTGCTCCAACAGAGATTTTTTCTCTTCTTATATTGCTGCCAAAGAGAACGTATCAATGGTTGATCGCTCTGTAGTGCTTGTTCTTGGAACTAGAACTGCGATGTTGACTCTCTCTTCAGAAAAGACTCTCACATTAAATGATGTGAAACATGTTCTCTCAATTGCCAAAAACTTAGTCTCTATAATCCTGCTATGTGACGCAGGTATGAGGTTGGATTTTCAAGGAGGAAAGACTTTGTTATCTTTTAAGAAAATGTATTTTGAAAATACATATCATACTAATGACATGTATAAGATTAGTACTATTGTACCCAACTCAGTTATAAATAAAATATTCTCTTCTGCTTACTCCTCTATGTTATGGCATTATAGACTAGAACATGTAAATTATAGAAAATAGTCTAGCATGGAGAAGTTATGATTACTTCCAAACTACAGAGGTAATAAACCTGAGAAGTGTAAAGTCTGCTCGTAAGCGAAATTGACAAGGAAGCCATTTCCAAGTGTCACAAGAAGCACCAACATATTGGATCTGATTCACTCAGATACTTATGACTTCAAGAGCTTC